AAAACTGATATTTTCACATGTAAAAATATCGTTACCGTGTGTATTTAAGCTATTAGTTAGTTAGTTATAATAATAAAAGGCTTATTAAGTTGATTTTATGGATAATTATATAATAAACAGAATATTACATGGGCGCTTGGAGATACGAAATTTATCTTCGAGTGTTGAAAATCTCTCACTCGTTCCTGCGCTCACTCGTGAGAGATCTTTCCAACACTCGAAGATAAATTTCGTATTTCCGCGCGCCCATGTAATATCCTCTATATTGTACATTGACAAGTGTCCACTTTACATGTACATATATAGATAGTGTTTGTCTGTTTGTAATGTACATGTTGTATGGGTTCAGTGTATATACAATGCCCTATAGTTGTATATAAGTAAGAGTTAGTTACCGAGAACGGAGGCCCGAGGGCAGTATATAGCTTAAGGTAATTCCCTTGAAAGAAATTTTGCCAATAAACTTTGTCCTGAAACTATGCATGGACATTAATTATGTTATGAACATTTAAGAACTGCAATAAAAAGATGTGTCACCATTCTCATTGTTTCGCTAGATTCTCTGCAAATATGTCAATTTATAGCCGTTTATAGTGAAATGTGGTAGCAACCGGAAGTTGTAATCAAAAACCTTTATTCACCGTTAAAAGTACTTTCATATAACAAAACGCACTTTTTACTCGAAGTTTACTAGATAATCTATACTACTAAATCCATCAAAGTCATTGGATGACTATGATTCTTGAACTATTAGTAAAAAATGCAGGTATGTGCGCCTCTACGAACGTCCAAAAATTGCTCATGTCAACTTTTCGCATCAAAATATTTCAAAATCTATCCAATAATTTTTCCTTCATATTTTGATATATAATGACGAAAATTGCATTTATCAAAAATCTGAAATAAAAAATGGGGGTCACCATTCTCGTTTTTGATTTATCTTGAAAAAACATCCCAAAAAAGTCGAAAACTGACACTTTTCTGAGTAGAGACTGGGGCGAGTTTCAAAAAAAGAGAAAAAAAGTGAAAATTGCTTTTGAACATGTTTCTTATTTAGTTTCCGAAAGAAAAATGCCTAGACTTTGTTAGTTCCATGCTTTTAGCGGCATGCGCAGAAAAATGCGCAGTGCAAAACAAGGGAATTACCTTAATGCCGACGTGCGAGGTAACTAACAAACTTAGTTCTCAATTCACTAGGTTTTCGCAAACTTTGAATAGACCGAACGAATAACGTTTTAGTTGGAGGACATGCAAAGGATCCTTTCCTCTTGAGACTTGTAGCGATGATGACGTGTTCATCACTCAAAATGCGTTTAGAAACATTTCTTTGCCCGACTTCGATATTGCCGATTTATTAGACTTGGAGTTACCTTCTTGTACTACGATAGATACCGATGACAATTCTTCAGAAGGGAAAAGCAAGAGAAACATTACAGTGGTTTCTGATGTTGAACTTGCCAAAAGAAACGAAGCTAGGATTCCAGAGGGAACAAAATGGAGCACAGGTAGATGTGCTCGTACTTGGATCGAATGGGCCAAGGAGCGGAGAAGCACCAATGCCACTATTGATGGATTGCAAGCATTCTCAAGAGAGTCCAAAGACAAAAGCATGGCGGCCATTGTGGTACCGTTAACAATGGGTGCTAATGAGAAATCTTTTGTTAAATGGCACCAAAATGGCCGCGATGACGTAACGTGCAATTGAAGAATTACTTCTGATTTATATACGGTGGTCAATTCCAATGTATTGACTTTAAGTAACGAAGAACTTAATTATTGGCTCAGTAAGTTCGTAGTAGAGGTGAGGGAAAAAAACACTTTGTACCAGTTATGCTGTGGTATTCAGAGACACTTAAGAGAAAATGGGCTTCCAGAACTTAACACTGATCTTTGAGAATCCTTTCTTCAAGTTATTTCAAGATTCTCTAGATGCGGAAATGAAGCGGTTGACTTCAGCCGGCGTTGGTGCAGGTGTAAAACAAGCTGAATCTTTCTCAAGATGGTCAAGAAGAAAAACTTTGGGCTTTGGATTTGTTAGGCGTTAACTCTCCTCAAGTGTTGTTGGACACGATGGTCTTTCTGATTGGTAAAAAAATTGCTTTATAAGAAGTGGGAAAGAGCACCATAACCTTCAATTTAATCAGCTCACACTGGTTTCAGCAAAAGACGAGCCAGAAAAACTAGTGTACACCTCTTTTGGAGAAAAGAACAATTTCGGAGGTTAAGCATCGTGCCTACAAGGGTAAAAAAGTGGAGCATTACTCGAACGAAGAAACGCCAGAAAGGTGTTTGTTCTGGTTGTACAAGAAGTACTTGGAGAAATGTCCAAAGTCTGCTTTTGAGGAAAAAAAATTCTATTTTACTCCAAGACGAAAGTGGAGTGTTAAAGATAAAGGTATATTTAATGAATGGAGTTGTTGTGGTTGTCATTCATTTATTGTGATATTTTGACAACTATGTACTTATTTATTAATGAATATTTTTTCGTGTTTGTCAGTACAGTGGTTTACGGCAAATCCAGTCAGGCATAACTCTTTGGGCCAAACCGTTCGAAGGTTATGTCAAAAAGCTGGTATTGAGGGGTATTTTACGAATCACAGATTGCGAGCGACGACAACTACACGTGGGCTTGAAGGTGGCGTTCCGGATAAGTTTATTTTGGAGGGAACCGGACATAGGGACCCAAGATCTTTGCAAAGATATCAACGACCTAGCATTTTTGGTTTGCAATCAATCCCAAGAGAGCACAATAACAAAAGGGATGTCCGCCATGTTGGAAGATATAACAAAAGAATTCATTGAAAAATGTTTTGTCAAATTCTTCCAACATGGTGCCTATGATCCCGGGGGGGTGGGGGGGGGGGTACTACCACCCCAACTTGGGTAGGGGTGTGCCGCCTGGACCTTGAACCCTGACCCTATCCCAGACCTAAAATTTTGATTTTACATACCCTACCCCAGACTAAAACTAAGAATTGTA